TGTCCCAGAGCCAGGCCCCTGGCGGGAAACGGCATTGCCACCTCTGGCGATTCCCATCCCGACAAAATGACACGTCTAACGATTCCTCCCCCATCCCACACTTCAGGGTACGTCTGCAGTCCCCTCCTATTTGTACGGTGGCAGGCAGGCGAGACCTCGAAATTGCCCTAAAGGTGACTAGACAAATAAAATGTGCAGGGGCTTAAAAAAAAGAGAAAAAAAAACCCTCCCGTGGGGAAGGCTCAAGGAAGGATCAGGGAAATGGTTTGGATTTGGTGCAGATGTTCTCAATCTAATTATCGTGTCGATCCCCTGGGTTTGAACCAAAAAAGTGAAATATATATGACCTGTGTAACACTCCAGAAATACATCTGGTTGGAATTCAGGGTTCCGAATCCGTGGCAGTATTTCAGAAATACATTTGGATGAGCAGTAAATACCCTTGTTACATTTCTGGTTATAGTTATATTATTTACATGCTAACTAGACTTAGTAGAAAAACACTACATTGACTGGCCCAGAGGTTAAGCTCTATTTAAATAAAATTTAGATTTCTTCTTTCAAAGTTTTGGGTTACACAAAGCTTATTGCTCTCTACGGAGAGGGCAGGGGGAGTTTAGAATAACTTTGCCAGCACCACAAAATGTTACCATTTTTTTAGAGGAAAAACACCAGATAAACCACTGATCAAAAATTATCTCAGCTGACTGAAATAATCAGCAGAGACCTAAAACACTTTGAAAAGTACATTTTATTTTTCTTCAGTATAGGCATAGAATAAGAACAAATTACATCTACTTCAAAAGGCTATTTTCTTTTTCTTTCTTTCTTTCTTTCTTTTTTTCAGATTGACTTTCAGCCTCCCCATAGTAGAAGGTCAGGAGGACCCACTGACATCCAAATATAGTGACTTTATATAAGCTGTGTACTGGATAAAATGTTCAGAAAATGGGAAGGTTTTAGGACTTGGATCTCCATTAGCACTTACAAAGACAATAGAATAATGGCTATAAAGTGTGAGACAGAGGAAGGTTAGCAAGATAATGACTAGGAACGAAGAAGCCCCTTGACTTGAAAATGTCATCACTTGGAATAAAGCACAAAAAAACAATCCAGAGACCTTATTTTCACTTTTTGACATGCGGGCTCTCCCTTTAGAGAAAGAAAGCTCACAGTTCCCAAGCCGATGACTAATTCTCCATCCCATCTTTCAAAAATCAAGTCCCAAGTAATCAAATGGGGGGGGGGTGATCAAAATGATGTTTGTTCCTGGAAACTTTAAACAGATACAGCTTAGCACCAAGCCAGACAAATACATATGAGTCCAGAATGCCTAAATGTCTTTTCTGACCCATTTTATTTTGCCTATGAAAAGTTCAGTGGCCATTTTGGGAATGGGACAATGCTAATGAATGGAACTTACAGAACATCGTAAAGCACTTTCAGAAGTTCACACTTTCCAACCCTCCTGGCACTGGTGGACCCTCCTGTCTCCCGACATCTACATGTAGTTGATTAGATCCATTAAGTTGAAAATTGGCAAATTCTCTAAAATGCCATATGGGTTGATTATTACTAAATTGGTCCTCCTTTGACAGCCCCAAGAAAGAAAAATATATTATCTTGTTTCCTAAAGATTCTAATTTAGTCATCATTCTGATATAGTTAACCTAATTCCTTGAAGGAATTAACCATCAAGAATTTCTTCTAAACTGAAAAATGTCTTGACAATGTAGGGCATTATTTTAAAAAGTCATCCTCTTTATCCCTCACAAAAGAGTCTCTATGTTCTAAGATCGTAATTATAATGGACTCATAAAATTAAGTTTCACCTAGAAACTTTATCTCTAGGAAAAGATGGAGAACAGAGTTTTTAACTCACCCCCAAGAATAATGAAAAAATTCAGAAATCTGTCCTATGTGATATGCTTAAAAAGAAAACAAAAGATTCATTCTAAAACCTTAATTCACTTTCTGAATATTTTTGCATCCAAATTAGAGCTGGTTTTGAATAGTTTCCAACAAGAAATATTTCAGATAACCAGAGACAATACATATTGCTAAACATTTCCATCGTAATTTATTCACAAATAAACATAAAGATATGGCTACTTTTTGATGCATGGATAAAAACAAAAACAAAAACAAAAAACTCATACTCCTAATAAATCATATTAAAATCTCAATTTTACAAAGATAGAAGTTGAAAATTATGTCAAGGTATTCATTTGAGTTGACTGAATTTGTAAATGGTTTAAATTAAGGAATGTCTAAGGCCAGACAGAAGTATTGAGACGCGTTAAATTTGAAAA